TCCCACCTGTCCTGTCCCTTCCTTCCAGAATTACTCAGTCCTGAGCCATCAGAGAGGCCCAAGATGGCAGCATGTGCACTGACAATAAAGGATATAAGAACTGCATTTGCCCACAGGTGACAAAGTGATGACTTAGGAGTGTACACTATGAGAAAGCCACACACAGGGACAGAGCCCAGCAGGAGGAGGGGACACTCATGTGAGTCGCAGCCACACGTGGAAGGGACATCCGAGCCTGAGCATGGAGAGGGGACAAACCAGCAAGGCGAGCACTGGGAAAGCCCTTCACATGAGCCGCATGAGCAGCCGTCTGGGGGCTCGAGAGCTGGCATTGGAGATGAGTGGTGGGTCACATAAGTAAGTGGATTGGGAATCATTGGAGCTAAGTTTTCTTTTCTCTGTTGTTCAAGGGAACTCTCTGTGCAAACTCATACTGATTAATGTCTGTCAACACAGCAGAAAACACGTGGCAGTCTCTCATTTGGTGGACTGACCCTGGCTGTTACAAACCACCTGTCACCCAGCACTTGCCTTGCAATGACTCTCCACTCAGGAATGAGGAGATTTTTGGAGAGATGGCTGGATTTAGGGCTGGCGCAGGGAGGAACAAGATGAGTCTGAGCCCTCTGGTACCCAAAAGAGGTGAGGCCATGTTGGAAAGACGGAATCCAGCTTGGTGGGTGCATCCTGAACAAATCTAAAGCGGTGAGGTCATCTAAATAAATAAAAGTGATCGTAGCTTGGAACCTATCAAAGGACGTTTTTAAACCTAAGACTTCATACATATAAATAAATAAATTGGAAAAATTGATGTAAAAATAGAACATAGGCCTAAAGAAAGTTCCCACATAATAAGTATTACTCACAAAGGGGAAAACAGTCATTTCAAAGTGGACAACCTCCTCCAAACACAAATCTACACTAGAAGCAACAGAGCAAAGTGGAATCATGCACCCCTGGAAGATTCTATGAGAACACCCCAATACCACAGACTCCTGGCCACAACAAGGAACTTGAGTCTGTTCGCAAGGAAGAGCCAAAGACTAACAACACTGGAAGACATTTGTTTTACAATGTGATGGGACTGCAAACGTCCAGTGTGTCAAGATTGTGAGTAGCAAACGAAGGAATTGTTTCAGACGAAAGCCCAAAGAGATTTCACTGTACTTGGCAATGTGGGGTTCTCACTTGGGCCTGATCCCTTCCGCTATAAATGGAAATGATTACTGGCAACACAGGATGAACTTGAATAGACTGAGAATCAGACAGCAGTAATAGGGCAGAGGATTTCCCAACTCTGACAGTTCTATTAGAGTTAGGTAAGAGAAATGGTATTAGAGAAAATATAGAGCTAACGCATTTGGGGTCAAGAATCACCAAATTGGCAACTGACCTCGAAATGGGTTAGGGAGAAAAAAGAAGCAATATTGTATTTGCAACTTATTGTCTCAGAATTTGGAGCTGCTTCAAAATAAGTTACATGGTGTACTGGCGATTTCAGTTTGTGTTTGAAATGGCTATGGCGATGCCACTTGTACTGTTTAATTATTAGCTATCATACTTCAAGGCATATGGCAGTGACATGAATTTTCTGACAAGGAACTCTATTATACAGCTTTAGAAAGGGAACAGGTTTTCTCTTAAGTCATTATTTTGGTTAACAGGTAAGTACTACATGGTCTCATGAGCCCCAATGCCAAAGACACTTGAAACAAAACCTCAGTAGCCAGCAAATCACAGCCCTCCCCTGAGGGCTGAGCGGGAGCTGACCGGCTGGACAAGCAGCTTCTGTACACTGAACCAGTTCCTTTTATTTTATACAGTATGATATTTAAAATACCTAAAAGAAATCTAACCAGTAAATTCACTGCATTCTAATTTATATATACCGTACATAAGAAGAATTCAATGAAATGGTTTTTTTCCACCTATCACCCCACACCAGTGATATTTTTAGGTTGCATTTTCCATGGTGATCAAAAGTATGGAAAGCTTTCTTCAAACATTTTTTTTTTGTCAGTTGTGGGGGTTGAATTCAGAGCTTGGGTTGCTGTCCCTGAGCTCTTTTGCTCAAGGCTAGTACTCTACCACTTTGAGCCACAGCTCCACTTTTGGTTTTCTGGTAGTTAATTAGAGATAAGAGTTCAAAGACTTTCCTGTCCAGGCTGCTTTGAACCATGATCCTCAGATCTCAGCTTCCTGAGTAGCTAGGATTACAGACATGAGCCACCTGTGCCAGGCTTCAAACATTCTTTGATGTTTAAATATAATCCTTTCATTTTAAGGTTATTAGAATCATTATGTAATTATTTCTGAAGTGACAGGAAATGGAATCCGTGGTTCTTTCTTTTCCTGTCAATGAAATATATTTATATGAAATATATTACATGAAATATATTTCTTATATGAAATGCCACAGATGAGGCTGTTTTTCTTCACTTTTTTTGCTTCTGCAGAAATATTCTATCTGACTGTCTGCTGCCATAAATTATTTTTCATTGTTGGCTCTGGAAAATGGGTAAATAAAAACTAAGGATTACATTTTCTCAAGTTCTTTTTACTAATATATGAAGATAAAAATGCTTTTAGGCAGCTTGGCTCAATATAGTATTCAATAACCTAGAATACTTTTTGAAGCACTTTCATTTTCCACTTAAAAAAAAACACAATTTGATCCTTATGGACAGTTATTAAAAACATCTCTTCTCAGAATTTTTTCTCTTATATCTGTGCCAGCAGACATTTCATGTATTCACAGAGGAGATAAAGAGATGGGTACAAAATGTTCAAGGAAGTTTGCCAGGGGAGACCCCAAGCTGAAGGTAATATGAGCCAGGAAGAATTTCCAGTTCACAGTCACTTCCACACTCTCAAGTGGCTGGGCAGATCAGGTACGTACTGCTTCTGCAAAAGCATAGCCATGCCCTGACCCAGCCACACCCTGACCCAGACTCCACTACCAATGCTGAGCTTCCTGGCTCAAGGAATGGGACAGGACAGAGTAGATGGGAAAAGGGAGAAATGCTCTCAAAGGAGATGCTGGCAAATTCATAGAGAGGAAAAAAAAAAAAACTATGGCTGAGAGTGTGTGCAAAAGATTACTTCTTAAACATCATCCCAAACAGAGTTGCTCTGTTTATCTTTTGAGTTAGATGTTGGTGTTGGACAAAACTAGATAAGGTGAGTACATTCTGGAGATCTAAAGACTAACACCACTGGTGATAGATGTGTGCGCTAATTTGCTCCTGATAATCATTATGTAATATCATACATATATACATACCAAATCATGCTCTATATTCCTTGGATATAGGTAACCTTTATTTGTCAACTAAATACTCTGAAGTCAAACCTTCCACCTTCACTTTCTCATGAAATAGTCCCTGGCCAGCTCCAGCTGTGCTCAGGCGTGCAATGCAGGTGCACAACACACAACCAGAGGCTAGGTCTTTGCACACAGGGAAGACAAAAGGTGCTGTTATGGGTTGAAACTAAACATGTCTCCCAACTTTATCAATGGATTCATCCAGTAATGAGTTCTCACCGGAGGTGGGAATCTGAGGGTGTGCCTTTGGAGAGTATAGCTTGTCCTGAGACTGATTCTCTTGGTTCCAGTCATTCTCCCTTCCCCACGAATCTCTCTCTCTTTCTCTCATTCTCTCTTTCCCTCCCACCCAGTCCATCAGAAGTTGAGCTACTCTGTTCCAATATATGCTCTCCACCAGGATGTCCCGCCCCACCATACCACAGACGAGTCCAGAAAAACAGGGCCAGTGACCATGGACAGAAACCTCTAGAACCATAAGCTAAGGCAAATTCTTTCTTAATTTGTGCTCACAGGTACTGTCACCATGACTAGCTATTCTTAATGAATGTAATGGTATGAACACCAGAAGATAAATACACAGAAGAGGAATCCCTAGGGAGCTTTCAAGACTAGAGATTCCCACAGGCCCCAACCTAAGCCCCCAGATACATCTCAAGCTTAGAAATACCACAAACCTACCGAGCGCATGGAAATCTGCTTTCTCAGACCCTGCAGGCCTCAAGTGATCCGTGTCTCAAAGTCATCTCCCTGGACTGGGTATAGCTTAGCAGCAGGGTGCTGCCCTGGCATACCCAAGGCCAGCTCAATCTCCAAAATAAAGCTTTCTTTCTAATTGTACCATGATGTTCATAACTATAACTCCTCTAGCTTCAGTGTTTGCTACCACAGCCACATTTGTTTCAAATAATCCCCATAAGGCAAAATAAAACATACTTTTGACAGGTAAAAAGCTGCCTGCCTGAAATAACTTCAGTTCATTAACTCTACTGTTCAGTGACATGTGTATGATATATATGATGCATGATATACAATGGTAATTATTATGTAATGTTATACACATACACACATTAAATCACAATCTATGTGCCTTGAATATAGATAGTATATATCAATCTTATATATGCACATATATAAACATTTAAAATGCTTTTACCTAATTTAATAGCTTCTTAGAAATGTCATTTACTAACAAAACAAAATTTGCTGCTGTAGCCCTTCCACGAACTCTATGTTTTCATGCCCAGAGACCTGCCAGAGGACTGAGAAATGGGGAACCTTTTATCCTTTGTAAAGAGAAAGGTAGAGCAGAATTACGAATTTAAGCATACAAGTTATCTCATTCTAAAAGTACCAGTACTAAATAAGAATGTACAGTGAGGACACTGCAATCACCAAAATCATAGCACAATTCAGCAATCAGCCAGATGGACTTATACTTTTCAGATGACGGCTAGCGTCAGCTTTCCTGTTGCTAGCAGCTACGTGACAGGGCCTCAGTGATGAGTGGGGCGGGTCGGAGCACCCCTGGCAATAGTCAGGAACAGAAACACCTGGGAGAAGAAGATGTGCAGACCGGGGAGACAACAGACAGTCCCTGGACAGACGCCTGTACGTCTTCCCCAGGTCCGTGGACAGCGCAAGGCCATCGGCCCAGATGAGGTGGGTCACCTACCTGCCAGACCAGGTGCTCCACGCCTCCAGGCCGTGTAGACAGGCAGATGCTCAGCACGATGGTGTGGGAGGAGGAGGTGAGGACGCTGGCGATGATGGCGTCCCGCATGTTGAAGGGTAGCATGGTGTACACCACGAAGACGATGAAGAGGAAGAAGGACACCTAGAGGAAAGCAGAACCGGAAGGTGAACAGAGTACCTGGCTCCTCAGTGCCATCTCTTTCCTTCCTATTAATGGTAGCAGGAAACACGTTTACTTAAGAACACCATTATGGAAAAATATGACAGCACACTGAGACAAAGCCACCAGATTATAACAAAGGATTCATCATAGTAACAGGAAAAAGAAGTTCTTGATTAAAACCGTGAGATGTTCAGTTCTGAGATCCAAACTTCTGCAGATCTGAGTGGTGCTCGTGCATGCATGCAATGCTAATCTTAAACCATTAACCTTTGGTATCCGTGCTTTAGAATGAGCAAAGGGAGACCCCTCCAGCATGGATGGAGTCGGTTCAGCAGTTGTAAAATGCACTTTTGTATTTCCTCCAGAAGAGATTAAATTTAGAATACCTATGTGACCTAGCAATTTCACTCCTGGGTATATTCCCTACAAAAACAAAACAACAACCTGGACACAGATTCTCAGACACATATGTGCATGACAAGCGCTCGCCTCACTGCCACAAGGCAGAAAGGATAGATACCCACCAAGAGAAGAACGAGTGAACCACATCTGGCATTCATACATCACAGCACTGTCCAACTGTCCGACTGTGGATGCATGACACCAGGTGTACAGACATTATACGGGATAAATGCAGCTGGGGTAAAAAGGCTCCATATTGCAAGATTGCATTATAGGAAGGACACCAAGTAAGAAAACCATAGACAGGAGACAGATTGGTGGTTGCCTGTGGGTGGGACAGAGTGGGATGAAGAGGGAAAGTCATTGCATAATAAGCATTATAGTTTGCTTTGGGGCGGATAAAAAAGGTTTTGGAACTAGACAGAGATGTTCGCTGGGCAACACTGGGAGTTTACTAAATGCCTCAACATTCTTTACTTTAAAATGTCTAATTTGTTATGTGAACTTCATGTCAAAGAAACCAGCAGTAAGAAACCTCTCAGAGAAAGGTTTGGAATGGAAACGATGATGTTTAACAGGTAGTAAAACAGACCAATTTCATCACACAAGAAGCTGAGACAGAAAATATAAAAAAAGAATAAGCCATAAGTCCAGCAGGCAAAGGACCTAAGGTCAGAGAATTGAGGAATGAGGCTCCACACCATGGAGCTCCTTCCCTTAAGTGAGCAATTTGCCCGAACAGTTTGCACAAGTGTGCTCTGATACATGGAGAGAACATGAAAGCCACGCATAGCCGATAGACACTGACCGGTCAGCTCTGCTGTTTCTCTGAGTTCCAAGCATGACTTGGGCATGAGGCTCTGCTACAGATGGATTCAAAGAGTACCCAGTCTGAAAGACACCAGGCTTTATCTCCTAACTATCCACTTACAGGGACCTGGGTTACATTTATAACCTAAAAAGCAACTGTCTGTCACCAGGCTGGTATCTTTGTCTAATTGTCTTGGTTAAAAAGCCTAATGAAGATGAAGTGCTCACACTCTGAAAATCAACTAAGATCCTTTCATTTTCTTCAGGGCATTCCTACTTGGACGGTCATTCATTTCACAAATACCTTGCACTCTGAGGGACAGAGGCCCACACAACAACTGAAGCCCAGCTCTCGTCCTTTTCCACTGGGGGAAATGTTGGTCATGCATGCCGGCACGCCAGCTGTACTTCACAGCACGCACATCCAGAGAGAAGGACACACTGCACGACCAGCTCCGCCCAAGGACCATTATCTGCCCTCCATCTTCTTCTCTCTAACTGCCGCCATTCCTTGAAATGGCAGCCAAGGAGAAAGCCACTGTGGGCGGGCCAAGTGACCAGGAAGCCCGGGTTTGGTGTCGACCATCTGTTTCATGCCCCCGTTTCCTCCCCTTCAATCTATATTTGTAAGAGCCTCAGGCCAAAAAAATGTGGGTGAAACAGATTACCATAGTGATATTTTTTGAGCAATTATTTTCCTTTCACCTCTTCAAAATAAAAGACCTTGAAGAATTTTTTTCTGTCAAGCATTATTACTTAGTATGCATTACTTAGCAATCCATTTACTCCATGTTGTATGTGAAATATAATGCTGAGGCCAAAGATCTGGGCTTAGCTAGTTCACCAATGAAGATGTAACGTGTAGCTGGGAGACTTTTCCTGTGGGGAGTGGTGGCCTGCCGGGGCCCTCTTACCATCTTTCCAAGGACAGAATGTACACAGAGAGCTCACTGAGTCGATACTCATATTTCACATGAGTGTGTTCAGGGTGAGATGACAATCAATAACACAATTTCAAACCCACAAATCACCAGCGCCAGAGTTTATTGAGTACTTACTGCTCAGACCTTCCACAGCTCATCGCTGAGAATCTTTGAGCTGTGGGAGAGGATTCTCCAGGAAACAGGAAAGCAATTTCTGTGTATTTCCAAATAATTGAGAAAAATAAACTTCCCCTGGAATCCCCGACCCTCATGAAATTACAGGGAAGGTTTCTAACGAAGATATTGCTATTTCTGTACTTAGCATCCATGCACACATCTTTGATGACTTCTGTAGAAGCATTTAGCCCTTCAGGAGCCTCCCAAGACACTAGTCCTCAGGCCTATTTTCACAACAGTTTCACTGACCCAGAGGAATTGGGAATTTGACTGATAGCTTATAATTAATGTCACAGCTCAAATAAGAGTTCCAGGGTCCAACGCTTCCATCTATTCTTGGTAGCTTATAAGAGCTTCTTCTTGTGGCAGATACAAATCACATTTGTTGGGAGAGGCATTGGAATGTAAAAGAAAAGCCTAGCAGCACACAAGTGCAAGACACAAGCACACAGGGGCCATTTCTGTAATTCTAAGAGTGACAGCAGGGAGTTTTCCTATGGCCAGGACCGCCACACTCACTCTGCCACAAGCTGCTGATCCCAAATTCTGTCAGTAAAGAGGACGGCCCAAAATGGCTAATATTCCAAAGACACCCACTTACTGCCTTCATGTGTACAAATTTAACTTCTAATGTGGTAATAGGATTCGTTAAATAATATTCTACAATAAACAGCAAAAATATGACATGGAGAAAGTGATACTAAAGAGTTGAAAACTAGTTTAAATAGAGACTTTGTGCTTTGAGTGTTGAATGACAGCCTAGGTTCTATTAAGGAATATCTTGACTTCAGCACTGTTGATACATGGGGCTGGTTAATTCTGTGTCCTATGTGTTGGAGTGTGTTGAACAGAAGAACCCGGGTCTTCACTAAGGACACTAAGGATCTGCAGACAGCATCGAATGTCTTTCAGGAGCAATACAATGCATGGTTGAGAACAATGAGCTCCAAGAAATGTTTTTCTGCAGGAATGAGAAAAAAAATGTTGCATGGTCATGGTTTATTGCAAAAATTAGCTTTTATTTTGTAAATTCTGATATCCATCAAGTTTAAAGGAAATACATTCAATTAATATATTATTTTTCTACAACATAGCATATAATTAAAAAAAAGCTTCTACCTTCCAGGAAGTATTAAATAAATCTTTTCAGACACCAAAATTGATAGCCACTTTCAAAGTCCCTCTCTTTTACTGCTGCATATTTTACTTCTAACCCAAACATCCTTAACATTGCTTTGCAATTATCAGAACTTACGGATACTTTGGCTATCGTTTTATTAATACACCCATCCACAGAGCCTCAAAATAGAATTATGTGGAGAACAGCCCTTTAGCTGCCCAAATATAATAGTTCCTGTGATAGACTCATAGTAGATGGGAAAATAAATAGCTAATGGTTGGTTAAACAAATGGTATTAAATCAGTCTGGGGGACTTCAGCGGCACCATTTTAGGAGCTCAGCTAGAGGTGCCTGAACAGCTTCTGTCTACAGGTCTGAGCTAAAAAGAGGGCTACGTTCACTTCAAGTTCCACATGGGGAGCTTTCTTCACATCCTATTAATCACCGAGGGTTCTGAATTTTTAAGCCTGCTTTCCCAACACAACTTCAAACAGGACCATATGTAAAACTAAAATGGATTTGGCACATCTAAAGAACATGTGGGTAAAATGCTCTAAAAAACCTAATGTAATCTCTAGGTTTTCCATGTTACCATGGGAATGTAAGACTCTTATGAACATAAGATATACCTCTCTGTCCAGGGGCTGAAATGAGAAGCCATTGATCTGACAGCCACCAACCCACGCAAAAAGGCGTGTCGATACAACATCTGAAGTGACACAGCACTCATTCCGAGAGAACAGCTGAAGTGCATCTACTGGCCCAGGCCAGCAGGAAGACAGGCAGACCTTCACAGATCTCCTCCTTCAAACACAGCCAACAAAGACTTCCCTGCATCCCCCTAAAGCTGTTTTGCCTCCAGGACCCCTCACTTCTGTCTGTGATGAGTCTCCAATCAGCCAGGCTACAACCATAGTATGCTTCATGTCCACACTCAATGAAAGTTCTCTTCCTAATTTGGACGTTTGCTTCCTCCTCCACCTGTGCCTCTCCACTCTTCCTCTCCACGACACTGGCTTCTTTCTCATTCTTCTCACGATCCCTCAGTGAGAGAGCAAGGTTCATCAGCTCAAGTCCATTTTTGGGAGCCACGAGCGCTCTCTGGGTACCTGGTACAAGTGTACATCACTTTTCTTGTCAGTTAGGTGAGGTCTCACAATTTGCTGTGACAAAGCAAGCAGAAGGGATGATTTGTCCTTTCTGGGTGGAAACTAGAGGCGTGAGTGTGTAACACACCTTGCCCTCTGTCTCCCCGGGGAATCATGGGGTCATGGCATCAGAGCCATGCCTCAGCAAGTGAGGGGCAGAGTCCCTTGGGGGCTCCACAGGGACCTTCAGACATGCAATCGACTGATGACCCCTGGTGGTGTTTAGCCCCTTATCCCTAAGTACATGGGCGGATACTAATACGGCTCTCTCTTTCCATTTTATTGATGTGCATTTATAAAGTATTGACTATCCAATAGTCTCCAAATTACTTTTCTCCCTTAACTATTCATTGTGGGCTTATTTTTGAGCCTACAGATTTAAAAAAGTAATCATTACTT